ATCAAAAAATACCTTTCAAAGAATTTCTTTAGTAAATTTTTAGAACTTGTTGATTTTGTCTTATACGCCGGTATCTAAAAGTGTTCTATTCATGTGAAAAAATATGGTAAAATAAATAAGGGGGTTCTCACGAATCCAATAAATATGGTGTGAATAAGTTTCAAACGAACCCACCGGAACGAGATTATTTTTGACTTGAACGACATTTCATTTCCTAAAAAATCAACATACCGTAGTTGAAAACACAAAAAATTCGTCCTAATTAATTATATCAAATCTAAAAACTTACATTTCAGGTTTCTGTATATTTGAAAAGATTAAACACGTATGTCTAAACAAGTTTTAAATCGAAGAACGTCAAATATCACATCGCTTACCACAATGTTTGTCGCTCTGAAGTTATTGATAAATCCACTTTAGTTCCATATTTTTTAGGCTAGTAAAATAAATGAATATTTTCTAATAAATCTCTTAAAAATATCTATATATATATATATACTTATTGTAAATGTCACTAACCAACATGATTATGTTAGAAATTTACAAGTCATTTATTAGTATGCAGGCTACCTAGTGGGACTTCTGGCTTTCCTTAGATCGAACAATGCTCTTCAAATTTGGCTTATATGTCATTGTTGCCAACTGAAGCAGTTCTTTCACATGAATGTCAATCAGAAAAGATCCATGATTTGATTTCACGTTTTATAGGGTAGAAAACAAAGATTCGCAGACGAGTGTTGAACCGAACATTGACAATATCCCTAGCGCAGCTCGTTTGACATTGGGGTATTTTTCCATCGGCATGCTTACCATAACCTAATGGTCACTTCCCTTGAAGCGCATTTCAGTTGGTCTTCCTCATAAAGATCGACCATCTTCAACTCAGTTCTAGAGGAAATTTCAAACAATCCGCCACAGAAGTAAATGTGTCGTTCCATCTCCATTTGGCAGAATGGAAGCGATTTCAGCTGGGTATGATAATTTTGCCAGTGTTGTCTTTCCGTCTCCTGCTGTCACTTCGATTAAGATGTGTGATGATAACTCGATTCTTTCGCTTCGTGCTTCAATTGCTGCGAATAGCAGGTAATCTATTCTTTTTTTTAGTACATGCTTCTTCCATTTGGTTCTCCGACGTTGTTATGTATATATTGCACGGTACATTATGCTTTGATTGGTGGCATATGAACACTCTTATTGTCGTTGAGTTTTGCTATTTTCTTCGATAGCCTGGAGTCTGTGATTGTTGGCCATCTTTTATAATTTAAATGATCGATTTATAAGCACATTGCTATTTGCAGTCTGAAGTTGTCTTGTAATAGGGCACTCCATACGCCTGTCTTAGGCTTTGCCAAATTTATTGTACAGTTTTTCTATGCGTTTTCTGTACCCTTCTCTTTCGCCAGTTAGTCAGAGACCTGGAGCCACCATCCCCGATACACACCAGAATACCATAGGCTGACCCACAAGTATCCATGGTTTTCAAAGAACCCGTGCATATCCACGTGGTTCCAATCTTAATACTCTGATTGGGCATGTTCAGCGAAGTGAACGCCCAGGCATAAGACCGCTTTGGTTGCATCTCCACCGGCTGCCATCCAAATTCTTCTTCGTCGATCCGCCTCTTCTTGGAAGTGCTGCAGTATTCGGTTAAACTTTCTATCGAACCTTCGTCTGAACCGCGCTTCATCTTTGTCGTATAAAACAATTAAATATTTTAAGCAGACGTAAACTAACATCTGTTTGGTAGTGGATCTTTCAGCAAACATTATTAGTGCTACAATTTAAATCGTTGTTATTCTTCATTCCTTTAAATTCTATTACGTATTTCATTCTCTGTATACCAGTGTGTATCCATCTTCATTAAATCCCGGAAACGTGTATTGAGATTTTAGATCTCCATTCACAGCTTCGCCATATCAGCCGTAATATACATACCATCGTATATTATTTGTATCAATTGTCATTGTTGATGTTGTTTCTGACGGGTTTATTAAATCTACTTTATGTTGTTGTTTCTGATAGTGATGCATTGTACACAGCTTTATCCCCAATCTTATTTTTCAGCTTCCTGGTAGACATGGTAACTGTAATACACCGATCCATACTGTAGTCTGTAATACTCCAGATACACCGCCTGATGATTGCCCGTTTGTCATGTTGATGTTCTCCCATATTGTGAGGTACATTAGTGGTACGGTACTCCTCCTGTTTGTGTCGCTGTTGCCGGTCTGCCAATGTTCATCGGGTGATATAACGTTGTTGTTAGATTCTTTCCTCTGAAGCATTCGTATACAGTAAATGGGTTTAACCACGGTAAAAATCGTTTCCTTGTACTACTTTTTCAATTTGTTGGTAGTTTAAAGCCTTCTGTTCTTAATTGACTTTCAAAGAAATGTCCTCCTCCGAATTGGTCTTTTTATTCGTCTTGGACATCAGGTGGTGGCGGACTTCCTTCTGATCTCCTACGGATTTCCATGCTCCGTGTTGTATACGTTTTCGCCTTCGCATAGGTCGCTAAGACTGTTCCATTTGCCCAGTTTGTGTCCCCTTCTATATGATCCTGGATAATTGTACCATTAGTAGCATGAGTGGCGTTAGATTCGGTCTCTCTAACGCTGCTATCAGGCTCCATCTCAAATAATTTGTTTGCTGGTTCATCATACTCTTTAACTCCTTCCCTTCTGACATCATTTGTTGACTGTTCTCTTTGTCGTTTCCGAGCTCTATTTATATTTGCTATCCGGCCATAATGTTTTGGTTTGGCCGCACCTAAGTTATTGGCTAAGTTATTTACTGCTATTGCCGGTCCTTCTACTTCTTCATTTTCATCTGCACTTTATTTACTTCACTAAATTGTTGAAGCGCGTTGACCGCCGAATTTCGTTCTCGATACGAAATGGAATGACCCCTTTTAGTGCCATCTTAGCGACATCGGGATAGAACAGTGCCATTTCAATTCAAAATTCACTGCGGGGCATGTATTGAAAATTTAGTTTTGCACCCCAATCAATCACAAGATCGATGTACTGTTTTTGAATTAAACTGTCTTCCGAAGGTATATCGCTAATAAGTGATTCCAAACGGATTATTGATGAATCGATAATATTTTTCAAAATCTGGTAAGGTGTGAAAATAACGGAAAATTTTCTTCAGCAAGAATGAAAACGTGACGTTTCATGGATAGGATATTCTCCCGTATGCGAAGTTCATTTTCATCGAGAAATGAATTTAGAATTGGAAATGGGGCATCGCTATTTTTTCATAAATCAGCAAAGAGACGAGAGTTCAGTTCAGTTTTTTTTAATTCATCAGGTATAGTTTTCCCATGAGTGCCTGACGATGAATAATGCAGTGTGTACCAATGGCGTCTGGGGACTTCTTCTTCACCAAAATCTGAAAACCGAAACGTCAGCCAAGCATTGCAGGTGCACCGTCTGTGCAAACGCCAATGACATGCTTCCACTTGAGATCGTGATCCTCATGGATCCTTCCTGCCTGTCGAATCCGGACTCAAACCATACTCTGGGTGAGCATTTTCTTTACTCTGACTACAACTCCCGACTCCGGGATGAAAATAACTTCTACTTCCACTCCAGCTGCAAAATCCGAAATAATCTAATTTTTGTAACAATAACTTCAACTTTGGGCTGTTTAGAAAATGTGTCTCCTGCTCCGGCCCCAACGAAAAAATGTCATTTTCCTCATCAGCTTATAAAAAAATTCGAATAATGGTTTTTGTGTTTTACTAAACGTTTCAGTTATTACTTTACCTCCTTCCGCCTCCTGATTGTCTTCGTCGCATTTCTATTTCTTTCTTTGAATTCTATTCTTTTCCAAATCCACTTGAAAGAAGAAGTAATTTAAATTCGTTACTCTTCTTCTTCATAAATATAATCAGGCGTCTCAATGTGATTGAAAGTAGAGGTATTTTAAAATATAGATCAGTCTTGAAAATATGAAGCTAGCTACTGTTATATATATTGCTGAAGAATGCATCCATCACGATTTGCGGCTCGCATTTCAAAATTCAAAGGCAAGGGCAAGTTTGGCGTTATATCGACTATTACCCCGAGTTTCGTTGATATTGCTATTTCAAAATACATACTTGAGTTGTTTTTATGCGGCTCCTCACAACCATAAGGTTTAAAGTTGACCCTGACACTAAAAAAGATGATAACCACTATTCTAGACCTAGAGTAGAAAATAAACTTTTTGCTCTTCGATAACCCAGCCAATAGAATGTAATTAGAAATCACATACACGAATATGAAGCGAAAAATTAACATTATTCTCAAATTTATAATTTTCTGTAAAAATATGGTGGGGCCTACTCTAAAAAATACACTTAATTTTACTATTACAGGCTTCCGGAGATTTCCGAACTAGAAGTGTTTTCCTGAAAACTTCCTTTTTGTGGAATAAGTTTTCAACAAGCAGTTTCGCTGACAGCTTAGAGTAACTTCAGTCCTAAGCGAGTGCAAGTCCGATATGGCGGCTTAGTCGAAAGGCTTGCAGTTAAGGCAGTGGCACGGATAAGTTAACCAGCTCATTACAGCAGTTGCATTGACCATATGTATATATTATTGTTGAATAACAATAGTTTATTCTGAAATTAATAAACGAACTACTTACTACGTGGTTGTATCATTATAGTTGTATTATCATGTTTCAAATACAAAATTGAAAACAGCTTAATATCTCCCAGGCATATTATTTATATAAAATATGTACAAACATATCAATACATATATTTCGAAAATGGTGTACCGAATAATATTGTAACAAATTCGTAGATTCGCATATAAGACATAAGCTAATCTTGAAGAAATTATAGCAATCATTCGTTTATTACAATTTCTCGATTTTGCGTTCAGACAACTCGTTTTGGAACTCATGAATAACCCTGTGGTGTGGGCATCCAAGCATGGAAGCGTCAGTCGGTAAATATTCCGGATGCGTTTTAGTGTTTAGCAGGCGCAGAGCGTGTTGATGGTGGACGATTTACATTATCATATAGCTAAGTATTTATATCAAATTATCTATCTAATTGTGAAGACTAGGAATTAGTCTCGCGACAGGCCAGCAATATGCCGATCCAGTGTTCTCTTCCAGACATCGTTATACCCGATAAATCATTGTCTGAAGTAGTACTAGAAAGAATGCTTGGATACGGGGATGCTGTAGCTATGGTAAATCTTTTAACAACAGTATTTTGTCAAATACAAAATTGCGCTTTTGCACACTTGCCTAAGGCTTTTTATCAAATTGCTGTTACAATGCTGCGTATTTTTTCGATGAATGCCGGAGCAGAGCTCTGTATGAAATTACGTTAAACTCAAAAACCAAAGATAGTATTCAGACGAAAAGTCTCTCAACCGCGTTTCGTCGGACCCGCTATCTCGCCACAGGGCAAGGCAACGTGAACTGGCTTGAAGCTGGATTTTGATTTTACAATACCTAGAAAACTTGAATAATTTGTATATTCTCATTAGGCTTGCACGTAATTGACAAAAATCAATTCCGTAATTACGGCCAAATCGATTACGTAATGACCCCGTAATTGCGATATTTTTTTCCCACATTTAAACCTATCATAACAACCGATTTAATCCACTTCTATTCCGAATGGGACATCGAAGTTTGGTTTTCATATTCCCGGCAGTACTACACGCCGGCGACAGATGTTAAAGACAAATACCAAGTAGTGAATTCAAAATAATTTTATTCTGATTTTTATCTTCTGTATTAGCTTATCTATATTTTATCATTACCAACACTAGTAATATATTTAGGAAACGATAGTTCACTTTTTTAAAATCGTATTAACGTATTAATACGACTTTCGTATTAAATAAAAATTCCGGGTTGCTAATTTATTAATCAACTACAAGCGTATTCTCTCGTTTGATTATACTTTCGCTTGCCTCGCGACGAAGACTTGTTATTTCACCGTTTTTACAATATCCGACTTTACTACTTAGTTAGCATTTTATAATAATTATTGATGCCGACTCATTGACGATATTCCGAATTCCATGCTTCATTTTACATTAAATCATTTCGCGGCCTAAAAGTTATAACATTATTTGCGATAAATTTAGATCAAATATTAAATATTTGCGCATTATTTAAAATACCGTACTTATATGACATGCCTTCTCCGAAAATACAAAGTTATATCGCGAAACAATGCATTTTGTGACATTTATTTTGCACTCGTGAAAATATTAATTTATTTTTTTTAATCAAGTCGACAATCCTATTTGCCAAGATTGACACAAGTTTTGTCGAGTGCCGGTGGTATTCGAGTCGACGATAAATCAAAATGAGTTGCCGCATTTGGTAAAGACAGGTAATCATATTTGACCGACATATTGCGAGGCATTGTGAAAAACATATTGAGCAATGCCAAATCCGGACAGATATATAACGATAAAATCGGTAAAAGAACATCAAGATTTTGTAATAGAAAATGGATCTCGCGCAGAATAAACACGGGAAATCCCGTCGTATTGTTGTTTCTCTGTCGTCTCAATCGCGAAAGACGAAGTTGCGTTGGTTCATTACGCAATTTCTCTTCCATCTTTATATTGCTGTTTGATAAGCGCGACATTAATTATCACGGCATTTACAAATAGACAAGTTGATCTCTTACATTCTTTAGTCATTTCACCCGAAGAAGTTGAAACCAGGTGTGTTGACGTCCATCGGTCTCAGCACAATTCTATTCCTAATCTACGGTTAATATGTACATTGGCCATTCTAGATAAGTTGATAATAGGTTAGTAAACGACGCGTTATGCCTTCCCATCTGCCTAACGAGAGAGAGAAAAACGGCTGCGAATACCGGAACTCTTAATTTCTTTTACTTAAACTTTAATTTTTTACAATCGACGGAATTGACTGCTCTGAAGAGAGCTAGTTTCAATCGCGAAAGCGCTCAACCAATAATTACGACTTTACGTAATTCGTAACTTCGCTTCCGTAACTCGAAATAATTCCGTAAATCCGTAAATTACGTGCAAGCCTAAATCTCATATGAATATGGAAAATATGCTACACTTTTAAATTTTACAAGCAAAGATGCATATATATATCAAGCAGGCATTTTATGCGTGCGAGAAAGTTTTTTATTTCGTGCGTTAATATGACATGCTGCATGTATTTTCTGCGATTATGGTAGGTCTCTCATAACACCATACAAGTTGGTAAAAAGTGGAACATCTTAACATCTTTGCCATTATTATAGGTGGATAACACACTCGACGGGAAAGAATTCACGTTCAACGAGTTTCGAGACAAAATTCGTTGCTGTGCTGGATCTTTAAACAAACAGGGTTTGAAACAAGGAGACACTGTAGGTCTTTGCGCACCAACTTGCTTAGAATTCCCTGTTGCAATGTTTGGAATTTTGTCATGCGGCGCAAAAGTAGCTCCATGCAATCCAGAATATACTAAAGGTGTTTGATTCGTATAAAATAACATGAATTACCGTAGCGACGAAACCGTTCTGTTGATTTCATATCTTGTTATCAACGTTTTGTAGTTTGGGCACGTGAAAAAGTATGTAGCAATAGGGGGGCAGAATATCGACAATCGTAATTATTGATTTCGAGTTTATTTCAGATCTTTAAATACATAATTCCCTTATCGGGTTAATGTCGTACTATAGTACCAGACGTGGTAACATACACCCGAGCTGTTTATAACTCTATTATACTCCACAAAGTAACCATCCGAAATAAATTTGCGTAGAGAGAAAAGTTAAAAAAAATTTAAAATATTATGTATGGCTTTCATGCATAATTGCAAAATTTTTGTCACAGGTGAAATAATACAACAATTCAAAATTTCGGAACCAAATATGGTGTTTGTTAACGAAGGTAATGTTGAGTTGATGAAAGAAGTGCTGAAGGAACTTTCATACGTCGAGGTATTTTTTTATGAAATCTATTTTTTTAAGCATCCTACTGTAAAATAATACTCTTACGTAGATGGGATACTTTAGAACGCTTATGAGACTGTTTTTCTCAACAAGCATCTCACCTAAATACCCAATTGTCGACACATACTCGTGGTAATAACTTATTTTCTCTTCTCCTAGACGATCTCCTAATAAACGTTAAAATGCAGAAAAGGAATTTTAAAGCTCTAAGCGTTTTTAGGAGTGAAGTTTTCACGAAGTTGTGATTGCTACACCCATCTATGGTGGCTCATCGTTGTCACTAGTTAAATTAAAAAAGTGAAATAAAAAACTGAAAATAAAAATTAATCAAAAAAAATTCGTAAAAAAAAAAATTAACACGAAATGAAAAAATTAAAATGCAAAAAAAAAAAATTAAAAAAAAACGCGATTGAAATGAAAATAAAAAAGGGTGGCAACGATGGGCCGTCTGCCCTTTTTTATTTTATTTTTTCAAATTTTTTTTTGAATTTTTATTCCGTTTTTACCTTTTTTTCCTTTCTTATTTTAAATTTTTTTGTTTTTTTACAAATTTTATTTTTTCATTTTATTTTTTATATTTTACTAGTGACAACGATGGGCCACCATACTCATCCAATTCATTTACAAGAATGCAAGATCATGTGTGAAATAATGAGGAATATCGCGTGATTTTCAAATGATGTTTCCAATTGCATTTTAGTTTCTATATTTCGGTTCAATATTGTGGCAAGTTCTCTAACATCGATATTCGTTAAAATACGTTCCTGTGCTTTATTTGACACCTAACTTGGTCAAAATGTTATTTCTATCACAATTTTTAGAAACTTTTTGTCATTGGACGCAGTGAAGAATTTTCTACTTTGAATGATATGCTTCTACCAGAGAACGAGAAGGGTATGTTTACCATTAGAAAACAATCAGGACCTAGTAACGCATTATTTTTAAACTACAGTTTTCCGCGCCATATATTTCAGATTAGTGTAATAAATTATACAAAGAATTTACTACACAAAATTATATCACATAGTTATGACAAGGTGACCTATCAGAAAAATATTTATACTTTCGAAACAAGCTATATGTTTCAGACGCGGCAGTTCCACCGAGAAATTTTGATAAACCCTAATTCTTTTTACCAATGTTCAGGCGCTAACTGGAAATCTTTCACCCAGGATGACAACCAAGGGAGGAACTTTGCTATCCGTTCATGATTAAAAGTTTCATTTTGTTACTTTTTAGATTTTCCTCAAAATGTTGAAATAAATCCCAGCGAGGATGTTTGCATGTTACCTCATTCCAGTGGAACTACAGGTTTGCCCAAAAGTGTAATGTTAACTCATACAAATCTCGTTGCTTGTAGTTTGATTGGAGGGTATGTTCTCTCGGTTATGATATTTCATCATTGGGCAAAAACCATGATATTTTTACTGATCTTGTTATGTTATTCAGCCATGCAACCGGATACACAACGACAGATTCTTTTTACATGGATAGACCAATGTTTAACATGGGTGGATTTGGAGTTGCAATCTTCACGCTGATGCTCGGTGTTAAACTTGTGCTAGACAAAGACTCTAATGTGGAAAAAATTCTCGCAGCGGTAGAAAAGTACAAGGTTGGAGTTCTAGTTGCCATTTCGTATTTCAAATATTTCTATATTCTTACGTACATCTGTTCTTTTAGATCACCCATCTTCCAGCAGTTCCATCGCTTATGATACTACTGGCAAAGACAGACGAATATTTCAAATACGATACTTCATCCTTGAAACTCATTCCTTGTGGAGGAGCCTCTTTATCAGAGCCAATAATGAACGCCTTAAAAGAGCGTTATAAAGTTAAAATAGCTCCAAGTAAGCTGGTTACCCCGATTGTCTTGTGTTTATATAGTTATGCTCAATCGTGTAATAAATATATTAATAGTTTTATTCCGGTTATTTGAAGCTATTTATATTGCCATTTTAACCAACCGTGATATGATACAAATAATGTTATAGTACGAAAGTATGTAATCAGATAGACACACCTGCATCATGTAGAATTTTACATTCACAAAAATATATTTTTGCAAACGACCTTATGTTTTATTTAGTGTACGGAATGACAGAATGTTCTCCTATATCTATAAATAACGACGCCGAGAATTTTTTATCGTCTGTTGGATCAGCGGCACCAAATACTATAGTAAAGGTAGATTACCGTCTTTCCTGATTATAAATTCTTTACTAACATTTTTTCATCGCAAACAGAATCTTGTTATTGGCGTTTTTACCATTGTTTTTCAGGTTGTAGATCTGACCACTGGCGACGAACTTGGTTGTGATCAAAATGGAGAAATCATGGCTAAAGGCCCACAAGTGAGTTAAACAAAATCCATGAATCACTAATGCTACAGGTTCGTTACCACTTTTAAAAATTGTAAGTTATATTTGATAAAAAATGCAGCATTTCCTATTGTATCAGGGATCCCAATAACCTGATGAAATGTCGTGTATTCGTTGGAATTTTTGTGGCTTTTGCGGTGCTGGACTTGGCCATTAGTTTTGCCAAGCAGCTTACTTTATAAGTCGTCTTCGGGAAACTATCATTACAAATCTCAGAATATATATATATACCAACTGACTGATCTGAGTAAATATTTATCCGGTTCAAGTTATATGTATTTAAATCACGTTGAGGGTTTGCAATCCTCGCCCAATATATGAACCTCTCCTGACTTTTTCAACGCGGAAAATGAACGGTAAACTATAGTGTTCAAACTGAATAAAACACACAACCATATTTATGTTATATCTTTGAATTTTGTTTCAGTTATCTTTTTGCAAACTTGGGTATCATATATTCTTGCTTGATGACGAACCGATTTCGGATTGCACAAGCAGCTAAACAATATAGTTTCGACTAATATACAATTAATTTTTGTACTTGTAGGTTATGAAAGGATATATGAGAAATCCCGAAGCAACCGATCTGACAATAGATAAAGATGGGTGGATACACACAGGAGATATTGGTTACTACGATAAAAACGGAATGTTATATGTCATTGACCGTTTAAAAGAAGTCATAAAATACAAAACTCATCAGGTATAAGAAATGAAAATTTTATTGATATAAATATTGTTTTATCGATTCAAAAGCCAAGTAAAAAGTGAAAAAAGTATTCAGAGTTTCTCAAATGCTATTATCCTGGAAAGCAAATCCTGGAGGCAACGTCAAAGTGTAGAAGCACGTCTCCCTGTCAAGAAAACGCATTGGTGCATAATTTCGTATATTTGTGTCTTGATATAACTGTGGAGAGAACATATACCATATGTCCCAATTTCACGGTATCTTGTCGAATCTTGAATATCTTCACTGTGATCGCAATTTCTTCTGTCGATTTAATCAATTATTTCGATCAAAGCCACCAAGCTTCAGGAAAAATATGTATATTACATTCCGTACCATTCTCTCATCTAACACTTGGCGACTCAGATTTTACGATGGACTAATCTAGACACGTGATCTCTAACGTGCAATACAATCGTATCATACCTCATGCCACTGAGCGCCAAATACTACTAGATCGATTTGTCCGACTCCACATTGCATGCCAATTGAGTTATGAATTGAATTACAGGTGCCACCTGCGGAATTAGAAAGCTTAATTTTGAAACATCCAAAGGTTGCCGATGTGGGTGTAATTGGAATACCGGATGACTTTGCAGGCGAAGTACCAAAAGCCTATGTCGTGCGAAAAGACGAAACACTCTCCAAGGACGAAATTATAGAGTTTGTAAAAAGTAATTATACAATTACACCTACTAGGTAATTTATTTTTAACAGAACTCACTTATCCATCAGTTTCAACAACATCTCAGGTTCAAGTCCAGCTTAGTCCAGAAATCACCCTAAGCCCAAGAAAGCGAACCAGAAATATACGCATCTTTTGAAATTCTGCCTACGCTCATCCGGTGGCATCCCCTAGGCCTAGGTACTAGAATTAGATTGTTTTGTGATGAATGTGTATTCTGTTTAGATGAACTGGTCGAATACAAACATTTGAGAGGCGGAGTGGATTTTATTGAAGCTATTCCAAAATCTGCTGGGAAAATACGTCGGAGAGAGTTGAAAAAACTCGCAGGATTTTAATTTCTGAATGCTGCTCCTTTGAAACTAAACTTGCATTTGGGTATAAAATTGGATATTTTTTGTGTGACTTATAAACAGCTTGGTTTTACACGCTATACCTGGAAAATGTTGGACTTTCTATTCATTAATTTGTTTAATAGATTGACTTAGACATGATGTTTATTTGAAGATTGATTATATATTCAACGCCAAGAGAGACGGACGATCTAGGTCGAAACCTCTTATTTTGTGTTGGTTCTTCGGGAAAAATAAATGATATTTGAAAGAAACATTTGGCGATCGTAGTGACGCATATTATAAATAGCAATTTCAGACAGAGATTGAGGGATGTAGGCTTATTATTGCAAATTATCAATATTTTTATGTCGTTCACAATTTAAAATCTGCCGTCGGTAATTGCGCGGCCCGGCGGTGAGGCGCATCGTGCTAAGCGTTAGGAATACGCTCGTCACCGCATCTCTGATTACCCTTCGTGGGATCGCAGGTTCGAATCCCATGCGTGGATGATCATGTGCAGGAGGATTGCTGGACTCCTCGCCGCCGTAGGGTGGTTCACGTAACCGCTGGTCGGTTACCTTAGAATTTGAAAATGCTCATGGCTCACATGATAGCAAAATGCCGTTTTAGATTATATTTGCCATAACTGCAGGCTGGTTGCAAGAGAACACCGGAATGAATTATGTTCTCAGGCCATAACATTGATATTTATTTATTATAACTGTTAAATATATTCCCAATCAAAAAGATATAAAGCCAGTGAACAATTTGGAATACCCAAGCACAATATTCAACTTCGCTAGTTGCTTCAGCTAGCCGTCAAGTCACTAGTCAATTTAGTGGCATTAGTGATGTAACAAGATGTCGATAAGATTTTCTGATTATTTTTATGACGAAACAACACCAACTGCGATTTTTCGATTTCCTCTCGGCAAAGGCGACGCCACATGTGGCGCGCGGGCCTGGGTTTGGACCACCCTGCTATAAACGTTTGTTTTAATTATTTACTTCTGTTATAAAGTTTTATTGGTGCTGCTTTGGTAAGTGATCTCCGTGTTTCTCATTAACTTGGATTATCCTAACCGCGAATATATTTATATTCGGTGCTCTTGTAGTATGTGCACGCACCAAGATGGCGCACAACCTGAACATAGTATGTGTACCAGGTTAGGGTTCAGGTTGTGCGCTATCTTGCACATAATACGGGAGCGCCTTATATTCTGTATATACAGCGTGTCCGAAAAAAATTCGCTCGATTTTATGGTAATAACAATTAAAAACTTTGCCCGATTTTACAGCAATACCAGTTATAAGTTTATTATTCATTGTATGATAAATGAGAACTGCAAGCACAATAAGAACTATTAATAAAAAGACAAATGAAATCTTTTTTTGTTATTAGTATGATATCGGACAGAATTCTTTGGACACACTGTATATATATTTATATTCTATTCGCCTTGAGGTCCTGTGCTAATCGTGACCTGGTATTTTTAAGATCTAATCGCGTTGGATCCTATCAAGTAAACTGGATTAATGCTAATGTTTAGGAGAACAGATCGCACTTGTACATTGAGATGCGTATCTTTCTAAGTTTGTAATGACTTGCCATAAACATGTTCACGATCGAGGAATCAGTATTGCTTATTATCTGATAATTATCTTTCGATTTAGCAATTATAGCAGCAATTTTTAATAAATGACCCGAAATATTACTCCATGCACTTTAAACCGCAAAATTTAAGCTGTGTTGGAAAAAAGACGACAAACAAATAGATAATAATCCTGATGCAGCAGTCTATAAGAAAGAAAATGCTAAGATGCTTGATGAATTACTGTAATTTGTTAGATTGTAATCATGGGTTTGCCTAAACCTCAGACTCTGGAATTCCACGCTAACGGCAAACGCGGGAATGACCCGGGCATATACTGAAAACAATGGTATTGACCCGATTTATTGCAAGCCAAATCATTTTAGGTTAGAGTCGGCCTCTCATCCAAGGATACGATTGGGTATTAATATTAAATTGAATGATTTTCATTGTGCGGACCTCTCGTCAGCTTGTAGTCGGCCCGTCCATATTGGGGAAGCTTGTCAAAACCTATATTTGTAATCAACTGTGAAGATTTTTGTGAAACCATCTTCCCGTTGATATTTTATTGCACAGGGTACTTGAATAATGGCATACCCGCAACTTGTGTGAAAAATTGGAAACTGCAAATTCGTTTAAGTGGGTGTGAAAATCTCGCTCGTCCGTGACGCTCGTCACTTTTGAAGGTAAAGTGATGGGAAGGTGATGTTATGAATAAGTTCTTTGCTTTCTGCATATTTTGTTGGATAGCCTGTGTATTGAAATTGATATCGCCCTCCTACATTCAAAGAAGATTTTGTGCCATGTAGCCTAGCGAATAATTCACACCCCATTCACCGTCGTAACGTCTGTTGTCGACGACTGTTCTTGTCAACACTACACTTACTGTTCTATATGAAAACGATCTTTTTCTTAACCTTCGTTCTGTCAAATTCCCTTCGGCTAAGATGTTTCGAACTAACTTCGTTCGTTTAAGATGGCATTCTGAGTAAGACGATAACCACAATTTGTCACGAGGCACACAGAAAAAAGTTATACCATTGTTTTTAGAAGCGATTTATTTCACCTCAAAAAGTTACGACTGTATACAGTCGTATATATAAATGAAATATCTGACATGATGAAATACGTTTTTTTTACAATTAATGGTTACACTAATTACTAAATAGTAATGTTATACTAATGTTTTTCTAAATATCTGAATATTCACTGTTTTAAATTTGACCACAAAAACAGAATGAGAGTGTACAAAATATGTGTACACCTAAAACAAAATAATCTTTATTGAACCCGATCGAAGTTGAATATCATGTTTTCTTTTAGCTATTGCCTGGAGAGCACTTGCAATAGATCGTCTGCAAAATAAAAAGAAGCATTTAAATTCTTCAGGTGCATTTCAACATGCGTCCACATATACATATCAACCACGGAATAAACTGCCACAGGTTGCGCAATTTATTTCATATTGAATGAGATCGTGATGTCTCACATACGATTCTGTCATTCGTGATATTTTGATTCGGAGTCAAATAAGGACCGTATAAAAACATGATAATTATCACCATGACAAATTAAAACCGTGTCCGTTTTGATGTCATTTAAAAATCAGAAAAATTGCAAACCTAAAAAACAAAGCCCTTGTTGTTTTCGTGTCAAAGTAGCAAAAAGATTTGGCTGCTATCGATTGGACTACATTTTGTCATAATTCAACCAGTTACTACTAGTGAGTTAAAAAAAATAACTTAATTAATAAATACCAGGTATTGAACAGTTTGTGGATTGCCACCTGGTTTTATGCACGTCGGTGTAGGTGTACAACCGCATGGATTTCCATAACTGAAAATGTGTAAAATAGTTTTACTCAACGTTTAAATTGTTCATACACCATTGTTGATCTGCGTCTGGTAACTGCTCGTTTGATTCTAATTCGCCATTTTATTTTATTGGTGAATATTTAGCTAACTAATGTTAATATTTGATAAAAAAACGTGACAAAAATGCTTGACACAATGTCCACCAGAATAGCTTTTTTCGAATAAACTTAGTACAAGCATTGTACAATGCAAAATGTAATACGAGTATTCACATCCAAACTATGATGAAGTATGGTAAAATGTCTCTATGTAGTACTATAGAAAGTGAGAAACTGTATTGTTGCTTACTTGCATTCGTATGATTCGAGAAAGTGACAATGGTCCGGTCCTCTAGGCGCCGGAATGTAACATTTTGTGGCACATTCTTCGTCGACGGCGTCGACAGCTGCTGTATATGGCGGGTTATTTGGACAAAATGCTCCGGGATTTAACGCTCTGTAAGGCAAAGGGGTTTGTAGCACAGTTCACAATTTTAAAGGTGATATGATTACAATACATCTTTGAACGCTACACGATATAATAGTGTAAAATCTTATATAGTATCTATGTAAAGTATTTTCCAAAGATTTAAAATCATGATCTGGCTCAACAATCGTTTATAATCGAATGACTATTCATTTACTAATACGAATAATTCCTAATAATTTGGATCTACTTAGATAGCGATTAAATACCATATAAACTACTGCAGCTGACATAAATCTATACTTACATTTTTGATTCAAATTGGCATCTCGGCAAACCATCATATGGGCAATTCTGTAAAAAATAATATTTTAGATATAAAATAACTAAAAAGTTTGCACTCGAACTAAATCACTACTGAAGGATACTCATTGAATCATATTATTCATTACAAGAAATGCATTGACTCAGAATAAAATTAGATTTTATTGTATAATAACAATTGTTCAAAAAATCTCATGTAACTGTAAGAGATTGCATCCCATGCAAAATAGAGGAAATCAATTCGGAACGAAAATCTGTTGAGAAACATTAGTTTTTTTCAAAGATATTTACACAACAATCTTCATTTTTGTTGAATTAAATTGCTTTTGGTTATTCCGACAAAATAATTTTTAGATTTGAACTACACGTTTACGTTAGATAAATATTTTATGAATTTTTGCTAAAAATTGTGTTTTTAACCAACCTCAAGTACTTTTATGTCTGGAAATTGTGCTCCTCGACAGCTATAGAACACCATGTATAAAACAGCAAGCTTTACCGGGATATCCATAACTGTTTCTTCGCGAGATAGTATGGTCATCAACCTTGCACGCCCAGCGAATTTATTTCAATTCAACATGCCCTCGGGGAAATTCCCCGACCTTCAAATGCTGGCGATTTCAACTTATTCCACAAATAGTACATAATTTATTTATTTTCATACAACGCTTATCCACGCAATTCGCTTCTGACATTTTTTAAAGATCCTGATTTTTTCAGATTTGACATTGTCCTAGCTTCATACCCTTTCAAACATTTTACGATTATATCACATATCACATTTATTATCACATATGCTGAAGAGTTTTCAACCTTGGAGTGGCATACTCACATTTTTAACATTTGTTATCATACGAAATATGTGTCAAAACAGAAGTAGTTTTTTTTATTTGATGAATCTTGGAAAAAAGGAGCTTCCGAAGTATGTGCACCAAGATGGCGCACAACCTGAACACAGCATGTGTACCAGGTTAGGGTTCGTATTGTGCGGAATCTTGGTGCACATACTTCGGGAGAGCCAAAACAAATGCACAAGTATGATGTGCAAAAACGTGTTTCAGCGGGTGACTTTG